GAGCCCGATGTGGGGCTCGATCCCAGGACCCTGGGATCATGACCTGAGCTGAAGGCAGACACTTAACCATCTGAGCCACCCAGGTGCCCCATAGGTGATTAATTAAATCTTTGCTATATGTTTGCTTTTACCAGTGAAATTTTTTCCTTTCATAATTTTCTTACTTGTAATTGTGGCCTTTTCTTTCCACTTAAAAAAGCCCCTTTAACATTTCTAGTAAGGCTGGTTTAGTGGTGATGAATTACTTTAACTCAGTTTGTCTGGGAAACTCTCTCTCTTTCAATTCTGAATGATTGAGTATTCTTGGGTAGAGTATTCTTTGGTCATAGGTATTTTTCTTTTTAGCACTTTGAACATATCATGCTGTTTTCTTCTGGCCAGCAAAATTTCTGCTGAAAAGCCAGCTGATAGCCTTATGGGATTTTCCCTTGTATGTCAGTGTTCTTTTCTCTTTCTGCTTTTAATATTCTCTCTCTATTATTACATTTTGCCATTTTAACTATTATGTGGACCTTTTTTTAAAAGATTGTATTTATTTATTTGAGAGAGAGAGAGGGAAAGCACGAGCAGGGGGCAGAGGGGTAGAGGGAGAAGCAGACTCCCTACTGAGCAGGGGGCCTGATGTGGGACTCAGTCCCAGGACCCTGGGATCATGACCTGAGCCGAAGGCAGACGCTTAACCTGAGCCATCTAGGTGTCCCTCCTTCTGAAGTTTTAATGTGGATTTCTTGTATACAACATATAGCTGAGTCTGGTATTTTTATCCATTCTGACAATCTTCGTGTTTTAATTGGTGCATTTAGACCACTGACACCCGAAGTGATTATTGATATGGTTTTTATCAATATCTATCATATTTGTAATTTTTTTCTATATCTTGCCCTTGTTCTTTGTTCCTTTTTATCTTTTATCCTTTTTATCTTTATCTTTATCTTTTTTATCTTTTATTATTGATATGGTTTTTATCAATATCTATCATATTTGTAATTTTTTTCTATATCTTGCCCTTGTTCTTTGTTCCTTTTTTATCTTTCATTCACTCTTATTCTCTCTTTTGTGGTTTTGAGAATTTGATGTGATTCCGTTTTCATTGCATTCTTAACATATCAGTTATACTCCTTTTTTATTGGCTGCCCTAAAGTTTGCAATATACTTATACAACTAATCCAAGTTCACTTTCAAATAACTATACATCTTTGTGTACAGTGAGAGTATCTTAAAATAACAAAATAATTCTAATTCCTTCCTCCTGTCTCTTGTATTATTGCTCCCATTTATTTCACTTACACATTAGCATACATAATCGAATACGTGGTTGCCATTATTATTATTATTTTTAAAGATTTTATTTATTCATTTGACGGAGAGAGAGAGACAGCGAGAGCGGGAACACAAGCAGGGGGAGTGGGAGAGGGAGAAGCAGGCTTCCCTCTGAGCAGGGAGCCTGATGTGGGGCTTGATCCCAGGACCCTGGGATCATGACCTGAACCAAAGGCAGACACTTAACGACTGAGCCACCCAGATGCCCCCTCCATTATTATTTTGAACAAACAAAAGATCAATTAAGAATATAGATCAATTAAGAATATAAAAATATGTTTTTATTTTACCTTCACTTATTCCTCTTTTTGATACTCTTACTTTCTTTGTATAGATCCATGTTTCTGACCTATATTATTTTCCTTCTCTCTAAGAAGTTCTTTTAACATTGCTTATAAGTCAGTTTCTACTGGCATCAAATTCCCTCAATTTTTGTTTTTCCAGAGAAGTCCCTATTTCTTCTTCACCTTTGATGGTTAATTTTGCAGGGTACAGAATTAGGGTGATAGTTTTTTTCTCTCAGCACTTTAAATATTTTACTCCATTCTCTTCTTGTTTCTGTGGTTTTAGAGAAGTCTGATGTAATTCTTATCTTTGCTTCTCTGAGGAGGTGTTTTTCCCCCCTCTGGCTTTTTAAAATTTTTTAAAATTATTTATTTTTTAAATTTTTAAAAGTTTTTATATACATTCCAGTTAACATACCATGTAATATTAGTTTCAGGTGTACAATATAGTGATTCAACACTTCCATAGGATTTTTCTTTATCTTTGATATTCTGTAGTTTGAATATGATATGTCTAGATGTAGTTTTCTTTGGCATTTATCCTGCTTGGTGTTCTGTGAGCTTTTTGAATCTGTGGTTTGGTATCTGTCATTAATTTGGAGGAAATTCTCAAATGTTATTGTTTCAGTATTTCTTGTGTTCTGTTCTCTTTTTATTCTTCTTCTGCTATTCCCATTATGCATATGTTACACCTTTTGTAGCTGCTCCACATTTCTTGGATATTCTGTTTATTCCCCCCTCCTTCCCCACCCCCCACGTTCTTTTCCTCTTTTTAGTTTTGGAGGCTTCTATTGAGATACCCTCATGCTCAGATTTTTTACTCAGCTGTGTCCAGTCTAATAATGAGCTCACTAAAGACATTCTTCATTTCTGTTACAGCATTTTTGATCTTTCATGTTTCTTTTTGGTTCTTAGAATTTCTGTCTCTCTGCTTACATAGCTCATCTCTTCTTGCATGCTGTCTACTTTGTTCATTACAGCCCTTAACATAGTAATCGCTTTAAATTTTTGGTCTGAGAATTCCAACATCTCTGCTACATCTGAGTCAGTTCTGATGCCTGCTTTATCTCTTCAAACTGGGGGGTGGGGTGGGATGTTGTTTGTTTTTTAGTATGCTTGGTAATTTTTTCTTGTTAGCTGGATGTGATGTACTGAGTAAAAGGAACTGCTGTAAATAGACCTTTAGTAATGTGGCAGTATGGCGTGGTGAAGGGGAAGCATTCTGTAGTCCTATAATTTTGTCTCATTCTTTTAGTGAGTCTTTGCCTCTAGACTTTGAACTTAAAGTGCTTCTCAGCTCTTCTAATTACTTCCCTTAAAGTGGAACAGGATGGCTAGAGTGGGTATTTTCCCTTTCCCTAACCAGGCTCTGATAAAACCACAGCGGGTTAGGCTCTGGTTACATAGTTTTTCTTGAGGGTAGACTTCATTAAAAAGAACAGAATGCTTTGGTATGTTTCAGAATTGCAGCTGTGCCCCTCCCCTTGCCAGAAGCCCAAGGGGAATTTTCTCAGATAAACCTGGTAGAGCTCCAGAAGGTAAAACTCTGCAAGTTTTTCCCTCCTTCCCCACCATTGACTGGATTACCCTAGAGTTTTTATCTCTCAGATTTTCCACACTGAGCTTCCAGCAATTCAACAATTACAGTTCAGGTTTCCCTTCCCTGGGATTTGTTCCCACAGAAATTTTGGCTCCTGGATTTTTGCTTCAGTAAGTTGTGATCCTCTGTATTTGTCTGTCTGCATAATTTTGAGAGCAGTGTCTTAGCCTGTGAAGAGTTGTTGATTTGCAGTTTGTTCATCTTTTTACTTGTTAGGATGGAATGGCAATTTCGACCTTCTTGCATGCCAGACTGGAAACTGGAAGTCTATTTATTTTTTTAGTCTATTTTGTCTCTGTTGTTTGAGTAATTTCTATTATTCTTTCAATTCACTGTTTTTTCTGTCCTCTCCATTCTGCTGATGAGCACATCCACTGAGCTTTTTATTTTATTATATTTTTCAATTATAAAATTCCATTTGGTTCTCATTTATATCTCTAATTTGTTGGCTGAAATTTTCTATTTCTTTTCTGAGGTATTCTTTTTTTCCATTTGGTTCAAACATCTTTGTACTTTCTTGTTGAAGCATCTTTATTATGGTTTCTTTAAAATTTTTGTCAGAGGGGTGCCTGGGTGGCTCAGTCAGTTAAGTGTCTGCCTTCAGCTCAGGTCATGATCCCAGGGTCCTGGGATCAAGTCCTGCATTGGGCTCCCTGCTCAGCGGGGAGCCTGCTTCTCCCTCTCTTCCCCGCTCGTGCTCTTTTACTATCTCTGTCACTCTCAAATAAATAAATAAAATGTTAAAAAAATTAAAAAAAAACTTTGTCAGATAATTCTAATATTTCTTTTATCTTGATATTGGCATGTATTTATTTTCTTTTTTTAAAAATTAATTTTGAAGTTGAAAACAGAGCTACCCTATGACCCAGAAATTGCACTACTGGGTATTTACCCCAAAGATAAAAATGCAGTGATCCAAAGGGGCACATGCACCCCAATGTTTATAGCAGCAATGCCCACAATAGCCAAGCTATGGAAAGAGCCTAGATGTCCATCAACAGATGAACAGATAAAGAAGATGTGATACACACACACACACACACACAGGAATATTATGCAGCCATCAAAAAATGAAATCTTGCCATTTGCAATGATGTGGATGGAACTAGGGGGTATTATGCTAAGCGAAATAAGTCAGAGAAAGACAAGTGTCATATGATCTCACTGATATGAGGAATTTGAGAAACAAGACAGAGGATCGTAGGGGAAGGGGGGGAAAAATGAAACGAGCCGAAACCAGACAGGGACACAAACCATAAGAGACTCTTAATCTCAGGAAACAAACTGAGGGTTGCTGGAGTGGAGGCAGGTGGGAGGGATGGGGTGGCTGGGTGATGGACACTGGGGAGGATATGTGCTATGGTGAGCTCTGTGAATCGTGTAAGACTGATGAATCACAGACCTGTACCCCTGAAACAAATAATACATTATATGTTAATAAAAAATTTTTTTAAATTAATTTTGAGAACTTGTAATTCATGGTATGATGGGTAATTTTCCATTGAAACCTAGATATTATTGTGTAATATCTAAGAGTCTGGATCTTCTTTAAGCCCTCTGTTTTAGCTGGCTTTTTCTGACACCACTCTGGCAAGGGAGATGGGACCCTACCTTGTTACTTTCTGACATAGGTAGACTTGATCTCCTTGACACCTGATTGGTGGGCTCCTTGCCACTTCTGGGTGAAGATGCAAGTTCCAGTTTCTTTGAGGTCTTCCTGGGTCCTGAATTTTGTAATACAACACACTTAAACTTTTTCTTTTTTATTGGACATCTGTGGCCTTCTGTCAATACAGAGAAAGATTGGAGCTGCTGCCCAAAGGCTTGGAAGTCATTTAGTTCCAACTGCTACTTTATTTCTACTATAATAAGAAATTGGACTGAGAGTGAGAGGAACTGCTCAGAAATGAAGGCTCACCTGCTGGTGATAAACACCAAGGACGAACAGGTACTTTCTTTTTTTTTTTTTTTAAAGATTTTATTTATTTATTCATGAGAGAGAGAGAGAGGCAGAGGGAGAAGCAGGCTCCCAAGGAGCAGAGAGCCCGATGCGGGACTCGATCCCAGGACCCGGAGATCATGACCTGAGCCGAAGGCAGACGCTTAACCGTCTGAGCCACCCAGGCGCACCTAACAGGTACTTTCTAATAGATGATGGAGTCAGGAGTCCTGCCTAGTTGTTGTATACCTCTCTTGTCTAAGGAGGTTTTTTGTTTGTTTTTTTTTAAAGATTTTATTTATTTATTTGACAGAGAGATAGAGAGAGAGCACAAGTAGGCAGAGCTGCAGGCAGAGGGAGAAGGAGAAGCAGGCTCTCCGCCGAGCAGGGAGCCCAATGCGGGGCTCGATCCCAGCACCCTGGGATCATGACCTGAGCCGAAGGCAGACGCTTAACCGACTGAGCCACCCAGGCGCCCCTTGTCTAAGGAGGTTTTTCACTGTTTTGGAATATTGGTGTTATGGCAGAAGGCTTTTAGTAAAACTGATAAGAAAGGCTACCTAAGCCTTTACATGCTACACCTTCTTCCTGTTTCCATAAAACTAATCTCTCCCAAAATAAGTTGGGGCATTTAAAGTATCATATGTGGGGTTTGAGTTGAAGAACGAAAATGTTTTAGGCTGAATATCAGTTTATTATTTCAACCTGTAAATATTTTATAAATTATTAACTGTTTCACTGAGAAAGGGGTATTATAGCAATAGAGAAACAAAGTTCAATCATGAAGAATCACAGTCAACGATCAGGAATGAAGTTAAAGAAGTTATGAAAGGAAAATGATTGAATCTGCAAAAAAATTTTTCATGCATGACTTTGAAGAATACCACTTCTTAGTGAAAGGGGGAAGTGAATCTGAGATGAGAATTCATTATGATCCTGGATAGAAATTGCTTCCATTTGTGTTGAACATTGCTGTATTCTGAATGTTTATGTCTCCCCCAAACTTCATATGGTGAAATCCTAACCCCCAAAGATGACGGTATTTGGAGGTGGGGCCTTTGAGACGTGCTTAGATACTGAGGGTGGAACCTTGATGAATGGGATTTGTATTCTTATAAAAGAGACCCCACCCAGCTGCCTCGCCCCTTCTACCATGTGAAGACACAGGGAGAAAAAGCTGGCCTTCACCTGACCATGCTAGTACCCCGATCTGGAATTTCCAACCTCCAGAACTGTGAGAAAGAAACTTGTTGTTTATAAGCTACCTGGTCTGTGGTATTTTGTTATAGCAGCCTGAGCAGACTGAGCCAAGCATCATGCTCACAAGTGATCTCTTTGATCCTGCACTGTTCAGCCGGAGAAGACTTCAGCTTCTGGGGAGGGCCCCCCTGTCGCTCTTCCTGGATCCTTTCCTTTTCTTCTCTTCTCCCTAAGGCTGTAAAGAACTCCGTTCTACCTGAATACTCTAAAGGCTATAACTCTTTTCTTCCTTTAGGATTTTATCTTCCAGAACCTGGATACATATTCTGCTTATTATATAGGGCTGTCAGACCCAAAGGGAAAAAGAGATTGGAAATGGGTTGATCAAACACCATACAATGAAAGTGTCACGTGAGTACAGAATTAGATAAAGGAATCCTGAGCCCTGGATCATGCAGGGATTTTAGAGTGTTACAACTATCAGCTATGAAAATAAAATAGCTTACTCTTCTTTTAACTCTTGGGTTAAATAATTTTATTTGTTATCTCATTTAATCATCACAGGAACTCTATGAAGCACACAGTATTATTTTTCCCACTGTAGAGGTGAGGAAATTGAGTTTAGAGAGTTTAGATAACTCAGCAAAGATTATCTAGCATTGGCAACAAATGATCCTCAAATCCAGCTCTATTTGACACCGAAGTCTGTACTTTTTTTTTTTTTAGATTTTATTTATTTATTTTGAGAGAGAGAGAATGAGAGAGAGAGCACATGAGAGGGGGGAGGGTCAGAGGGAGAAGCAGACTCCCCGCCGAGCAGGGAGCCCGATGCGGGACTCGATCCAGGGACTCCAGGATCATGACCCGAGCCGAAGGCAGTCGCCTAACCAACTGAGCCACCCAGGCACCCTGTACTTTTAATTACTACATTATATCTCTAAATATAACAAAAATTTATGTCAATTAAGATCATGGCCGATTATTGATTTAATATTTCTCATAAAGCAAATGAGCTAACTTCTGATAGTTACAATATCTCATATTTACGTAGGTCTTTTTTAAAACTCTTAAATACTTCAGTGCGTTTTAGTACAATACCACCTTTGATCCTCCTATCACTGTGTGAAACATACAGGAATATGACTCTAGTCTCTATTTTTTAGATATGGAAATCAGGGAAATTAAATTACATATCTAAGATAACAAGAATCTTAGCAGATTTAGCGGTTTTAACTAGTTCTTTGGACTCCAAAAGCAATATATATATAAAAAAAGGAAACAACTATAATGATACTTGGGACTGGGATGAAATCTTTCTTTTCCATCATTTAAGGGAGCTTATGGACTGGCAGTCCCTTGGGAACAGGACATAATGATGGACAAATAGAAGGGCTATCTGTTAGGAGAATGTTTAATGCAATAAGATGACACAATACTGGGTGATGTCAGTTTTTGAGGAAATGCCAGGGCTTCAGGTAGAGGAGAAACTGCATGAGAATTGGAGAAGGAATGATTTGGGCATATCTGACCTTGATTTCCACACGGTTCAGCCCCAGCCCCCTCCCTTGCCCTTTTCAAAGCACTGTTTGAAGAAACAACCTCATCCATTTTTTCCCTTTCAGATTTTGGCACTCGGGTGAACCCAGGAATCTTGATGAGGGTTGTGTTAAGCTACATTTTCGTTATCTAACAAGAAAATGGGGCTGGAACGATGTTCCTTGTAATGGACATCACAAGTCGATGTGCAAGGTGATGAAGATCTACTTATGAATGGGAACATTCTGCATGAACATGTAGTTGAATTGGTATCCACTATTACAGAGATAGCTAACTTGCTCTTCTTATTCATGTGTAAGTCTTGTGTAAGGAATCTTCATAGCATTTTTCAGTAGGCTGTCACCTATTCCATTTATGATAGAATCAGTATACACATTCATTCATTTGTGCCTTCTCCATGTGTAGAAACCATACTGGAGAGTTCTTTTGCAGACACATGGAGGAAGCATGAGCATCCTTTCCAAATTTTTGTTAGAGGAGTTAGATATTTTGCTAAGGAGTTAGATATTGATATAATTATATGATGGGGTTCCTCCATCTGTCTGGATTTTTTTTTTTCATGAGGTTGGTCAAAAGCGAAATAATCCTGTTACTTTCCATTCCTCTCAGACATCTTTATTACCTTTAACTGAAGCATATTATGTGACAGTTGGAATATGATACACATCAGTGGAAGTTAAGTTCCAGCTTTGTCCCAGTAGACTATTTGGGGTTCTTAACATTCTCTGTTCAGTCTTAGACTGTCATTTAACATCGTGTACAGTTGAAGGGAAATCAGAAATTGAACATTAGAGATTTAGAATTAGAAGTTATTACTAGTGAGTTGACATAGATTTATAATCCCTACTTTTTTTCTTTGCTTCAGTTTTATAGTTTCTGTGTGTAGATTGCCACTCAGAATGGCTCCTGGTTTATTCTTGTTCCCCTTTTCACTGAAGTTCTTACTGACCATTTTATTTATACTACAATGTATAACATATTTATTTTTACATATTTACAGTAAAGCCTGTTATTCATTGCTTTCATATGCTAATTATAATTGATCATAATAAAGCTGATTCTAGCCATGGCTATCGCAGTGTGACCTCTTGAGATTATGCCCTGATTATCTTGATGCAACGGAGTAATTACATTTGCCACTCATTTCCTGACTGTATCTAAAAATGAGTTATTTTTATACAGATCTGATCTTATCCATTGTATGTAGAATTTACCAGTTTATTCTTCAGAGAGCAACTTACTTACAATTCTGGAAGAATTCTAGGGAAGCCTTACTTACAAAGAGCTTTTCCCAGGGCGCCTGGGTGGCTCAGTTGGTTAAGCGACTGCCTTCAGCTCAGGTCATGATCCTGGAGTCCCGGGATCGAGTCCCGCATCGGGCTCCCTGCTCGGCAGGGAGTCTGCTTCTCCCTCTGACCCTCCTCCCTCTCATGCTCTCTGTCTCAAATAAATAAATAAAATCTTTAAAAAAAAAAAAAAAAAAAGAGCTTTTCCCACTATTATTTCAATAATATGGGGTTGGAGTGAAGGGCAAAAAGAACCACTTTACTAATGCTTTTGATTGTCAGAATAGAGGGTGTGCTTGAACTGAAGTGCGAGGGAGAATTGGTGACATTAGTTACTGCTGGGACTTTAACCTCCACCTTACATTTTATGAATGTGATTCAGATCCTATTTTCTTTAATTTTCCATAAAGCACCACTAAATCAAGATTGTGGGGTAATAGAGTTTGTGTAAGATTTGTGTTTAAGGAGTGATATGAAAATGAAGAGGCGAGCTGGGTGGTGGGAGGAGCTGTTAAAGGAAGGAGCCGGAACTGTCGATTAAGCTGATCAAGATGACAACCTCCCAAAAGCACCGAGACTTTGTGGCAGAGCCCATGGGGGAAAAGCCAGTGGGGAGCCTGGCCGGGATTGGTGAAGTCTTGGGCAAGAAGCTGGAGGGAAGGGGCTTTGACAAGGCCTATGTGGTCCTTGGCCAGTTTCTGGTGCTAAAGAAAGATGAAGATCTCTTCCGGGAATGGCTGAAGGACACATGTGGTGCCAATGCCAAGCAGTCCAGGGACTGCTTCGGGTGCCTTCGAGAGTGGTACGACGCCTTCTTGTGAGGCTCTCTTGGGGAGCCCCCAGTCCCTAGCCCCAGTATTGAGTCTCCAGAGTTTGCAGCCGCATGGGGACTCCTCCCCTGTCCTCTACAAAGGAAGACATTGCTGTTGTTGTACTCACTTCTGATGTACTTCAAGGTCTTTGGGAGTTCTCTCCCTTCACCATTTCAACTTTTTTGAAATTCTCGCTCTTGCATGCATCTCCCTTCTTGCCCTGCCAGTTTCGTGTCAACAATTACCAGCTTTTCTGAGTGGATTCCTGGCCCTTCCTTCACCCCCTGCCCCCACTGGTCTGTTTTATGCTATTTGGTTCCTTTTTTGGTAGAATAGTCACTGTCCTTGTGAAGTTTTTTAAATCAATAAAGTCAGTGACCTTCAAAAAAAAAAATGAAGAGGCATCTAGCTGACTTCAAATGAATGGACAGAATTGTGAAAAATAAGATTGTTGCTTTAAGCCACTAAGTTTTGGGGTGGTTTATTATTCAGCAATGTATACCTGGAACACCTTTGAATTATATTAGTTTTGAATCAGATTCTGCAAAATAATGAAACATACTCAATCACATTGCTGTCTCTAAAAAGATTGACAGTTATAAAGTGAGAATAGATTAATTTTATCATTAGTAAATAAAATGCAAAATAAGTGTTTATTTTTTATACAATTTCTTATTCTTGCGTAGTAGGCATATTATATTACATCATAGGTGTGTGGTTCTTAAATATTTGATATTAAGTGTGCATATACAGTTTTTCCAATTATTTATTTATTTAGAGAGTATGAGCAGGGGGAGGGGCAGAAGGAAAGGGAGAGAGAATCTCAAGCAGACTCCACGATGAGTGCACAGAGCCCAACGTGGGGCTTGATCTCATGACCCTGAGATCATGACCTGAGCTGAAATCAAGAGTCAGATGCTTATCCAGGTGAGCACTCCTTTTTTTCAAATACTAAGTACGACCAAACAAAAATTGTTTTCAGACCAGTGTTCTAGAAAGTGGATTTTAAAATGTTGATTAAAGTTTAGGTAATTGTTCTCTTTGAGGTAAAAGAAAAATAGAGACTACAGACAAAACTATTTGAAGAAAGTGTGTTTATGTTGGTTTATTAAGCAGATATATTTAAGCCTATGAGTGAAATATACTTAGAATTTTAGGCCCTATATTCATCTTTATGGTTGCTATTAAAAACAAACATATAAACAAATAAATATACCAACACTTAAAGCCCTTTTAGTCAACCTGCCACTTAGTAAATGGAATAGGAGGCAGTAGCAGTGGAATCTTTAGTACCAGGGAAAATACTTCTGCCCATCGGAGCGAAAATGATCAGCCTGGATGAGTTCTCTGAAGGTGGGAATCTGCTGACACATGACAACTCTTCAGGGTTTGTTAATGTTAATTTTGTCTTGATGATAATACTGAAACATAAATTAAGTTTTGTCTTTGCCAATATAGAAATCATCCATGGTACCTACTTTGTCAAAGATGAATTCAGTGACTCAAGGATAGAAGAAATAATGTAGTAATCCAACTGTATTAAGCCAAATGTTCAGTATAAATATTTGATTAATCACATTCTCTCTACAAAATGAAATGCTCTACATCAGTTAAAATTGTTGCAAATGAAACTATATAATAAAGAACCAGTATTTTACTGTGGTGCATATTATTGGTCTATTTATACCTTCTTCCTTAGAAACAAAACTTTGATGTTATTTAGAGAGTCACTTTCTTTCATGCAGCCCAGGTACCTTGTGACCTTTCAGCTCTGTGAGTGGATACTGGTTAGTCCAAGGCAATCAAAACGTCATCCTAGTGGTTGGTTTAGGAATAGGCACAAATTGCATGTTTGCCAGTGAATCACCTCTCCTTGTTCTCCGATGAATCAGGAAGCTAATCTCCCTCTCCCAAAGAATAGGAACAGAGAAATATGTAGTCCTGCCTGCTACTGATGGTCATTCTATCACTATGAGGGGAACTAGCTTTAGGATGACAGGAACACCATGGATAGAAGAGTAGGGCAATGGAAAGAATCTGGTTTCTTATGGGTATTGTTGAGCCACTGAATCAACTATTCCTGAAGCATATTCTACTCTGACTTTTTAATAATTAAAGGTAATAAATTTCCTAATTAAGTCTGATTAAATCTTGACTGATATAAAACAGTATATTATTTTTAGTGACCAAACTTTATTGAGATGCAATAGTCTAAAGGAAGAAGCTAACATTTTTAGAGCATGGTTCAGTGATTTTTGTTTGTTTCAGATTCCATTTGAGTGGAATCATATAGTATTTGCCTTTCTCAGTCTGATTTATTTCACTTAGCATAATACCTTCTAGGTTCATCCATGTTGCCTCAAATGGCATGAACTCATTTTTTATGGCTGTATAATTTTCCTGTGTGTGTGTGTGTGTGTGTACACACCACATTTTCCTTGTTCATTTGCCTATTGATGGACACTTGGGCTGCTTCCATAATTTGGCTATTGTAAATGATGCTGCAGTAAACATAGGGGTACATATATCCCTTCAAATCAGTATTTTGTTTTCTTTGGCTAAATACCCAGTAGTGGAATTACTGGATCATGTGGTATATCTATTTTTAATTTTTTGAGGAACTGCCATACTTTTTTCCACAGTGTCTGTAGCAATTTACATTTCCACCAATAGTGTACAAGGGTTCCCTTTTCTCCACATCCTCGCAAACATGTTATTTCTTGTCTCTTTGATTCTAGCCATTCTGATAGGTGTAAGGTGGTATCTCATTGTGGTTTTGATTTGCGTTTCACTGATAATTAGTAGTGTTGAACATCTTTTGATGTGTCTGTTGGCCAAGGGAAATTAGTTTTCAATAAAAATATATAAAAATATATAATTTTTGTTCCTGCGTTTGTGAAAAAAATTCTTTAAATGGATCTGAAGTTTTTATCAGAATTTCAAACAGGTTAGTGACCTAGAAGAGTTTCATTATTTATCTGGGTTGATTTCAGTTTCCCAACATGTTAATTTCACTACTATAGTCCTCTTATAAGGGCTAAAGAAAAACAAAATCATTTAAGGTTACCCAAATAAACCGTTCCACTTCTAGTAATGGAGAATTATTTTGTTGTAGACCAACCCTTGTAACAACAACAACAACAAAAACTAGCCAGAGAAAGTTGGCTTCAAAGCATTGGGGAGCTATCATGGCACTGAAGACTTGAGGCACATAACCTGTCTGGATCCATGAACAATGATCAGCCATTCTTCCCCAAATTTCTTGGAATCAGGTAATCCCCAGCATCTTGATATAATCCCAAAGGATCATCCCAAGAATGACTTACAGGAAATTTCTTATCTGCCAGTGGTAATAAGAAACAACAATAATAATCTCATAAATTGAAAATAATGAGATGCTATATATCTTGTACATGTGAGTCTGTATACCAAAAATATCCTCTACACAGTTGTTTGGAAGAATATCTAAGTATCTCTTAGAAGGTAATGCTTGCCACCAACTATTGATTTAATTGTCTTTAAGTTCTTAAACAAGAGAATCAAACTGGGTCTACTTAGTTAAATCATGGACAATAATTTTCAAAAGGGCAACCCAGTGCTGCTTTCTTGAAAAGGGATTTGGTTCAAATTGCTGATTCATTTCTGATGTCCCCTTTAAAAGAGTTCAAGCTGAAAAAACAATATGTACTTTGACTCTAATAGTATGTGATTTTATTTTTAATCTGTGTAAGTTATTATCTTTTCCATTGCTAGTTTTTGCTTTACTCCCTTATTAGACTGAAATAAGCTGCATTTATCTGTACATCTGACCTGAACCTACCACAAGTCTGCTTTTGATCCAATCTCCCTTTCTCCCTATCAATTTTTGTCTTATATTTTATTTTGATGTACTACTCCTTTTTGCTTTTGCTTCTACCATCTCAGCACTCTATTCAAAGCTTGCTACTGTAATCTAGAAATGTATACAGGACAA